TGGCGGCAACACCTGTCATGGCCGCTGCCTGCCCGGGGCTTTCCTGCACAGAGGAACCTGCTGCCCTGATGTCATCCCTGTCACTGCTTCTCTCTTTCAGCTATCTCAGCTCTACCCCGAGGAGAATTTGGAGAAGCTCATTCCTTGCTTAGCCGGTCCAGATTCGTTCTATGTAGAGCGGAACCACATGGACCTAGAAGCCGGCCTGCGGTAAGCCCTCCCCAGGGTGCAGTAGCCCAGCCTGGGGCTTCAGTGCTCGCCAACCTCCAGGGGAGCCCTGCGGGGCCACATGGCATGCAGGTTCGGTCCTCCGCTTTGCCTGGGGACTCACATTCGTTTTGGAGACTTGGAAGGAGCTTACTGATCTAGGGGCGATCTTGAGGGTGTGCAAAGGAATGTTAGAAGGTACCCGCCACTTAAGGTGCCCTCGACAGTCTATTGAGGTGCCGTTGGCATTACTGCTTCTGCTTCATAGGTGACCGCTGGGACCGTCGCAGGTATAGCTAGGCCTGGCTGGCTCCTCTGACCGTGGCGTGTCCTGGCGGCGCTGACAGTGCCCGGCCACTGGTTGGCAGCAAGTGTGGGGCCCTGGGCTGCCATCTCGGCGCTGGGCCCTGTCCTGCAGTCCTCCAGTCCTTCATGTAGCACCATTTGGGAGGCTCCCTGCTCGCTGATAATACTGGGTTGTTGGGAAAGTCACGGTGCAGTTCTGCATAGAAACCGGAGTGCTTCATGTCTTTTCTGACGGCCTAATACAACGTAAAGGGTGGGAGTGACTTGGCGAAGTGATGCAGATCAGCACAAGAATCGAATAAATGAAAGCAGGAGAGGTGCTCGCTTATGGTGCTTCTATTTTTCTTCAGTATACATCTCTCTTCATTGAAACCCAGGCTTTCTCTCCTAATTAGCTTTGGGTTTTTTTTGGAGAGGTTTTCTGCTATTGGGCACGTGTGCTCGCCAGGCAGACAGAGAGAAAGTGAGAAATCACCCCCCAGCGGGGATAGCCATGCCACAATCCCTTCTCCTCCATTCTCCTCTCAGGATCTTGAGCACGCACGCACACGCGCCCAGCATGAGTTAAGCCACTGGGTCTAGGATGCAAACCACGGTCGACTGCATGGGAGTCCAGCAACATAGCCATTACACTAACTGCTGGTCCCCATAATTAGCTTTTAGTAGTGACATTTTAACACTAATGAAACCACTGTTTGATGTTTTTTAGGTATTTGGCTTCACTACCTTCTCATATATTGAAAAATGATCACGTAAAGAAATTTTTCAGCACGTCATCTCCCACCCAACAGCTTCAAAGTCCAAGTGAGTCCATAAAACACAGTTAAATAAAGTTGAATACGTTCTGATTGTCTGGGCTAGATGGTGCGGCAGCAGAACATGGTGCCCTGCCAGGCTCCCCACATGCAGAGGTACCTGCTTGGCACCCAGAGACCTCCGTGGGTGTGCACGAGCCCATGGTGCAGGGCTGGTCGGGGGTGGGACTGGACTGCGGTGTCAGGACCCTGTCCGGGCGCTCTGTTTCTGTCTCTCTCTCCCGGAGTAAGGGAGAGAGCTATGAAACACGTCTTACTGTTTGTACATTTTACGTATCTGTGTTGATTTCTAGGTCCTGGCAGCCCCTCCCTTTCTAAAGTAGGTGCCGTGGTGGGCGTGTCTGGAAGGTGAGAACCCCTGTAACCAGCACATTTGCATAAGCATTTTACGGAGTTTGCGTTTCATCATGTGTGGATGCTCATCTCTAGAGAAATGTCTTTCTCAGTATTAGATAATGTGGGGAGAGGAGCCGGGTGGGCAGAATCCGAGTTCGGACTTCCCAGAACATTCTCTAACCCACTGGCTTGGAGTTTCTAGGAACTCTTATTACAAATGCAAACCTCTAGGCCCTGTCTCAGACCCAGGAAACCGGATATTCTGGGCTGCTTCATTTCTACAAGCTCCTTGGGGCTGCTGCAGGCCCGGGGCTACGCTCTTGAGGTGTTAGAGCCCTCGGGTCACCACGGTGCGCTGGTGGTAGACAGCTGCCATTAAGACAGGTCTCCGTCGCAGACGGTGACGTCAGCTCGCACACACACCTGGCACTCCCCGCCGTGGTGTGGAGAGCTAAGGTAACGATCTGGAAAGTGCCGCGTTCCACCTGCCCCCGGGCCTCGTCTGTCGTAAACACGTGTAAGTTTGTGCGTGCAGTGGAAGGGCCTCGGGCAGGAAGCGGAATGTTGTTTTCCCCTTCCAGCCTCGAGGCTTTATGTTTGTACTATATTAAAGACTTAGTAGTCAGGTTCACTTTGTGCATTTCGGCATTGTCCTGGGATTTAGAAGTAACAGGAAGAGACCAGAAAGCTCAACTGAAAGTCTGGTGGTGGACATGTACATTACACGTGTACATGCATGTACATCAGATAGGCACGGCCTGTCATGCTCTGCACACAAGCATCAGATGCACACACGTATGCAGCTACACAAAGCAGACCTCCTCACGTAGGGCAGGTGGCTGGGCTGCGCGGGCTGCGGGCTCCGTCGTCTCCAGAGCTCAGAGGGACGGTGATGCCGGATGCAGTTGGGGAGCGGTCATGGGTGGAGCCTGGTCACCGTCTCCCGAACCACAGCCCTTCTGTCCCCACCCCCCACTGTCCCGCAGGCCTGTGTGTGGAGTAGCCGGCATCCCGTCTTCTCAGAGTGGGGCCCCACACCACGTGCAGCACGCGGCCAACACAGCGGCCACACTGCCCCACTGCTCCCACGCAGGGGGCACGGGCTCGGCCCTGGCCTACCGCGGCCAGGTAGAGACCTCGCCTGCCATGCTGATGCCCTCCGGCCTGCAGGCGCCGCAGACCCAGGAGCAGAACGGGATTTTAGACTGGCTTCGGAAGCTGCGTTTGCACAAGTACTACCCGGTCTTCAAACAGCTCACCATGGAGAAGGTATGCTGGTCCCCGAGCCAGCGGTCCAGAACATGCGTGTTGCTTTCCTCGAGCAGCCAGTCCCTGACCTCCTCCCTGGGGAACTGGGTCAGACTTCTAAATGCACATGGTGTGGAAGAGCCAAGGATGGGAGTTGTACCTGGTGTCAGCGAGGACGCTGGGTGTGGCCTTGATGGCCACCTGCAACTGAAGCAGGTGCCACCATGAGCTAATGCCATTGTTTGGGTTGTTTCCTCCTTTAATGTTTTTGTCATAGGACATACGTACTTTTCAGGGAGAGACACAGCGAGAAGGAAAATAGGAAGTCACCCCCCAAGGGGATGTCCATGCTGCACTTCCTTCCCCTTGATTCTCCTCTAGGGAATTTGAGCATCTATACACATGCGCCTGGTGTGGTTTTCAAACCACCAGGTTCGGGACTGAAACTGCAGCTGGCCATGTGGGAGGTGAGCGCCTTAGCCACCATGCCACCTGCTGGCCCCAAACAGACTGTATTTCTGCTCACTCTGAGTCATCACGAACTAGGGAGCCCTGGGATAGGAGGGCGGGCTTGGCCCACACCCCTGCTGCAGGCCCCCAGTGTAGCTGGGTACGTGCTACCCTTATGATGTCCAGGTACATGGCTCCCAGATGATCTGGCTGGATTTTAGGATTGCATCTGGAGGAACAGGTGTTCAGTGTCTTTCAAGTAGCCCTGTCTAGAAATTATTTTTTAAAGTAAAGAGATTTTTTTTTTTTAAAGAGAGATTTTTGCTGTAGGGCGCATATGCTCGCCAGAGAGACAGAAAGTGAAAAATCACCCCCCAGGGGAATGGCCACACCGCAATACCTTATCCATTCTCCTCTTGGGATTTCGGGCATGCGCGCACACATGCCCAGCGTGAGTTTGAAGCCACTGGGTTCAAACATGGTGGGCCGTGTGGGAGTCCAACAACGTAACCATTACACCGTCTGCTGTCCCATGATAAAGTTTTGATGAGGAATACTTTTTTTTGGAGAGGTTTTTGCTATAGGGCGTGTGCGCTCGCTAGACAGAGACAGAGAGATAGGAAGCGAGAAGTCACCCCTGGGGGGATGGCCATGCCGCAGTCCCTTCTCCATTCACTTCTCAGGATCTTGGGCATGCACACGTTCCCGGCGTGAGTTTTAAGCCACCGGGTTCGGTACTCGAACCATGGTCAACTCATGGGAGTCCAGCGACATAGCCATATGCTAACTGTTGGTCTAAGATGAGGAATACTTTTTTTAAATTAAAAAAAAAAATTCTGGAGCCAGCCTGGGACCTGGTAGAAGATGATCCCCGATGACCAGCTGCAGTTCTCATTCTGGCCCCAGCAGCTTGAGAAACACCCTTGGGCACAGGTGCGTGTGTGCCCAAAATCCTGAAAGGAGGGAGGAAGGGAGAGGGGCCGTGGGTGGCCAAGCCCCATTAGGGTGCTTTCTCTGTCTCTGTCTCTGGCGAGCACACCTGCCTTCTGGCCATAAAGAAGACCCTTCTGAACCGCCTTCAGTCTGGGCGTCGCTGGTAAAGTTGAAGACAAGGCCCTTGAGTGCTGAGCTCCCTCTGCTGGACAAGATGGCCTGGTGGGGTCTAGCGGTGTAAAAAGTTTGTTTATCCCAAATCTATAGTTGATTCCAAAATCCTGGCTTCCAGAACTTCCTACAAAAAGACAAATTTTATTTTATTTTATTTATCTATTAGATTTTTGCTATAGGTGCATATGCTCGCCAGAGAGACAAAGACAGACAGAAAGCGAGAAATCACTCCCTGGGGGGGACAGCCACACCGCCATCTCTTCTCTAGTCTCCTCTCGGGGTATTAGGCATGCATGCACACACATCTGGTCGGGGTATTAGGCATGCATGCACACACATCTGGTCGGGGTATTAGGCATGCATGCACACTCATCTGGCATTTTTTTTTTTTTTTTTTTTTTTTTTTTAAGAATTTTTTTTATTTAAATTTTTTACTTATTCATTTACTTATTTTAATTTGACCAGAGAGAGACATACAGAGGGAGAGAGAGAGAGAGCAAGCCACCAGGTCTGGGACTCGAACTGTGGTCGGCCACGTGGGAGTGTCTAGTGCCTTAACCACCATGCTACCTGCTGGTCCCCCTGGCATGAGTTTTATGCTGCCGGGTCCGGGACTCGATACACAGTAAACTGTGTGGGAGTCCAGAGATGTAACCATCACGCCATCTGCTGGTCCTGAAAAAGATGCTGAGTGTACAGGCTGAGCTTACCCCATCTGAGACTCAGCCCGCTCTGTAACCAGTTACCGTTCTGAGCACTGACGTGATGCCCCAGGTGGGAAGTCCCACACCTGGTTTTCTGGGGTGAGTCACAGTTAAAACAGTGATGTAGAGGGACTAACAGATGGCATAATGGTTATATTGCTGGACTCTCCCACATGACCGACCCCGGTTCAAATCCCAGACCTGGAAGCTTGAAATTCATGCTGGGCACATGCGCGTGCGTGCCCAAGATCCCGGGAGGAGAATGGAGGAGAAGGGATTGTGGCATGACCATCCCCCTTGGGGGGGATTTCTCGCTTTCTGTCTCTTTGTCTCTCTGGTGAGTGCACATAACAAAAATCTCACTCAAAAGAAAAACCCACTGCAGTAGAGAAGTATGGCAGCAGATGGCATGATGGTTATGTCGCTGGAGCTCCACGTGGTTGACTGCAGTTTGAGTCCCAGACTCGGTGGCTTAAAACTCATGCCAGGCGCATGTGTGTGCATGCCCAAAATCCCAAGAGGAGAATGGAGAAGGGATTGTGATGTAGCCATCCCCCTTGGGGGGGTGATTTCTCACTTTCTGTCTCTGTCTTTCTCTTTCTATGGTGAGCGCACAAGCCCTATAGCAAAACCTCTCCAAAAAAAAAAATCACATTTAGGGGGCCAGCAGGTGATGTGGTGGTTAAGGCACCAAATTCCCACATGGCTGCCCATGGTTCATGTGCCACACCTGGTTCTTTCATGTGTGTGCATGCCCAAAATCCGGAGAAGAAAATGGAGGAAAAAGGATTGCAGTGTGGCTATCCCCCTGGGGGTGAGTTCTCACTTTCTCCAGCGAATACATGTACCCTGTGAGAGTGAGAGGGAGAGTGAGAACTCACACCCCGTGGGGATGGCCACACTGCAAAACCTAGAACAGAGAAAGGAAGAGGAAATCGCCTTCAGGCTAAGTGCCTCTGTGAGACGTGAGTGAGTTGTGTTTGGATTTGGGCGCCCTCCCCCAGATACCTCATGTCTATGCAGATAATCCAAAAGCTGACACACTCTGGTCTCAGGGATTCTGGAGAAGGGGTACTCAACATGTAATGCCTTGTAATTAGAATTTATAAACCTTAAAAACTGTGTTACTAACCTTAGTGACAATCAGCTTAGAGTTTCCATGTCAGCTGAAGTGGCTAGGCTGCACACACTGTGGAGTGTGCTACTTTGTTCCCCTGGCCCAGGCGTCTGGGTTGGTCAGCCATGCCTTTGGACGGCATCTTCTGTGCTGGGTCACTTGGGCCTGCTAAGGGCGCTGTTATCCAAAATCGTGTGACTCTGAGGAGGAGAGACCGTGTGGACTGTCCTGGCCTCAGAGGCCAGCAGGTTCTCAGGGGAGTGCGCTCTGACAGCCGTCCTGAGGGGTCGGGCAGTGTCGTGAGCTGCATCTCTGCAGCAGTTGCGCCGGGACTGCTGACATCTCCCTGGTGGTAGGCCTTAACGGAACGGGCATGCGGGACGGGTGGGGTCTCGCTAAGCCGACGTGCCTGCGAGGCACCGTGGAGAGCAGCTGGTGGTGGGAGCTTTGACCCCACTCAGCGAGAAGGCGGTTTAGTGTTCCCGAGTCCACTGGCCTCTGATTCAGTCTGATCTGCTCACGCATCCCCGAGGTAGAGTAAATGCATTGCCTTTGCTGCCCAGCTCTGGTTTCCGAGTCCTAATTAATCCAGTAACTCTAATCTGTTTCTCCTGTGGAAGTTTCTGAGCCTTACTGAGGAAGATCTGAATAAATTTGAGTCGCTCACCATGGGGGCCAAGAAGAAACTGAAGACCCAGCTGGAGTTGGAAAAGTGAGTCTGATGTCGCTTTGGACATGCATGCTCGTTTTAGTTTCTTGTGTGTTGAGTAGAGTCAGTGACTGGGTTTCTTTTCATTACGTAGCCCATCCTTAGTGCTGCCAAAATTGCCCATCTGTGGCTTCGTTCCGATAGGGAAGACCCTCGGGAGTGGACAGTAGCGTTTCCTCCCCTCGAGACGATGTGCCCTCCCGGGCTCGAGGCAGTTGCGTTGAAACAGTTCGCAGCAGTAGTCGGCCAGCTCGCTTGTTTCTGTGCTCTCTCGTTTCGCAGGGAGAAATCCGAGAGACGGTGCCTGAATCCCTCAGCCCCGTCCTTGGCCACCAGCAGTGGGGTGGCTCGAGTGCCCCCCACCAGCCACGTTGGGCCAGTACAGAGTGGGCGAGGCAGCCATGCTGCAGGTGGGTGAGGGTCCGTCCCGCATGCGGGCCTCCCACAGGCCGTGCCGTGTGTCCCTGTGGGTAGCGGTCAGGCCTCACTCGGGTGCCGCGACGTTTTCTCGTTCTGTGAAAGGAAGGGAGGGAGTGGCCAGTCTGTTTCGGTGTCTGTCTTGTTTTTGCTGCAGGGCGTGTGTGCCCGCCAGAGACGGGGAGAGAGTGGGAAGTCACTGTCCAGGGCAGATGGCCGTGCCGCAGTCCCTTCTCCACCCTGAGCTTGGGGCACGCGCATCCAGTATGATTTCTTTTTTTAAAGAGGTTTTTGCTGCAGGGCGTGTGTGCTCGCTGGAGAGACAGAAAGCGAGAAATCACGCCCCGTCCCTGGGAGGCATGGCCATACTACAGTCCCTTCTCCTCCACGCTTCTCTCAGAATTTGGGGTGTACAGGGCCAGCAGATGGCGTAACAGTTACATTGCTGGACTCCCACATGGCCGACCATGGTTTGAGTACCAGAGCTGGTGGACTGAAAGTCATGCCAGGCTCGTATGTGTGCATGCCCAAGGTCCTGGGAGGAAAATGAAGAAGGGATTGTGGCATGGCCATCCCCCCCGGGAAGTGATTTCTCACTTTCCCTCTCACTGTTTCTGTTTTTTTCTCTCTAGCGAGTGCATGTACCCTAAGGCAAGAGCCTCTCAAATAAATAAATAAATAAAATTTAAAGATAATAATAATAATTTGGGGTATACAAGCACGCATACACATACCTACTGTGAATTTCAAGCTGCCGGGTACAGGAGTTGAATCACAGTTGACCACATGAGAGTCCAGTGCCTTAATCACTAAGCCACCTTCTGGCCCCAGCCTAGCATGATTTCCAAGCTGCTAGGTCTGGGACTTGAACCAGAGTCAGCCATGTGGACTCCAGCACCTTAACCTCCATACCACTGCCAGCCCAGTTCTGGTTTCTTGTTATGGGTCTCACTGTGTCATGACACGCCAGCCCCAGTGAGCTTGGACCAAGGGCCAGGCCCTTGTCCCCTGGCCACCACACAGCCTCGGCCACTACGTAGCACCTTCCTGCTTGCGCCACCAGCACCGTGCCCTGTTGAGGTTTCTCCATCCTCACACTTTTGTTCTAGCTTTCATTGTCGCACTGTAGCGACATGTAGGGACAGTTGGGGTAGAAGCTGGAGACTAGGACTTACCTTGAGTTTGGGCAAAAGAATTAGATCCACAGAGACTGCTGTGGTGACAGGGACGGAACTGGGCGGCCCTGTCTGAGGTTCCCAGTGCTGATGACCCCAGTGAGCGCCAGCACCCAGATGCTTCTGCTCTGGGGTACGCCGAGTCTTGGGGGCTCGGTCTTCCAGCCGTCTTCCTCCTTCCCTCCCCGTCTCCCGCCTCAGGAAGGTGGCCCACGCGTGCCTCTTGGTATGCAGGCAGTTCGTGCCCGTGGCTCGGGGTGACTTTACAGCAGGGCAGCAGGGGTGCTTTAAAGAGCCCTGGTCTTGACCCTACTTTCAGAGAGGGGCGTGGGCGAAGCCATGGGCCCTCTGCCGGGCGTGGGGCATCCGTTTGCTTCTCCGCCATGTCATTTGTGTGGCCTCAGACAGTTGGTCCGCGGAGACTCTCAGAGCCATGTCTGACCTGAGAGTAGAACCCGCCTCCTCAGAGGCCATGGGATCCATGTGCGGGGTGGGGGGGTGTTGGGTGGCTGGCGGCGGTTGAGAGTTCTAGGAGCCCCTTGCAGTGTGCATTCGTTCACCTGTGCCTTGTCTGCAGAGCTGCGGGTGGAAGTGGAGCAGCCCCCTCACCAGCTGCCTCGGGAGGGCAGCTCCTCGGACTACTCCAGCTCCTCCTCCAGCCCCATGGGGGTGCAGGCCCGTGAAGAGAGCTCGGACAGTGCCGAGGAGAGCGACAGACGTAAGAGCCAGGGCTCGTGGGCGGGCTCCAGCGCTGGCCACGGGGAGAGTGCTAACGGCTGTCTCCCTCCCTAGGCCTGGAGGTGCACCTGGAGGGGCCCGAGAAGGAGAAGCCCGTGATGCTCCTGAACCACTTCACTTCAAGCTCGGCCAGGCCCACCGCCCAGGTCCTCCCTGTTCAGAATGAGGCCGGCTCCACCCCTGCCGGCCACCACCCCCTGCCCCCGCAGATGCTGCCGGCCTCGCACGTCGCGCCCATCCGGATGCTAAGCTCCATGCACAAACCGGAGAGGGGGAGCGCCGACATGAAGCTCCTCTCGTCTTCTATGCACTCGCTTTTGTCCCTCGAGGAGAGGAACAAGGGGCCTGGACCAAGAAGCAGCGTTAAGGTGGACAAGAGCTTCGGCACCACCATGGTGGACGTGCTGCCCACGCCCCACCCACCCGTGCAGGTCCTCTCTGGACTTTCGGAGAGTAGTTCCATGTCGCCCACAGTCTCCTTCGGTCCCCGGGCCAAAGTTGTGCACGCATCCACGCTGGACAGGGTGCTGAAGACGGCACAGCAGCCAGCCCTGGCAGCCGAGAGCAGCACGGCCGGGGCGGGGGCGCCCAGCACGGTCTTGCACGTGGCTCGGCCACCCATCAAGCTGCTGCTGTCACCGTCTGTCCCTGCGGATCCCGCCATCTCTGGGCCAACTTCCTGTCCTAATAACGTGCAAATAAGTGTGCCCCCTGCAATAATCAACCCCCGGACTGCTCTGTACACAGCCAACACCAAAGTTGCCTTCTCTGCAGTGAGCAGTATGCCAGTGGGCCCCCTGCAGGGCAGCTTCTGTGCGAACAGCAACACTGCCTCATCCAGCAGCCACCCTTCCACATCATTTGCCAACCTGGCCACCCTGCCCAGCTGCCCGGCCCCCAGCTCCAGCCCTGCACTCGCCTCCGTCCCTGAAAGCAGCTTCTACAGCAGCAGCGGTGGCGGCAGCTCCACAGCAAA